TCAATGGAATTGAGACGGCAGTTTGGATAAACGGTGGGAAAACAGGCCTTGATGTCTTTGAGGGACGCTGAAGGCAATGGGAGTCACCAGCACAGAAACATGGGACGCTGTTTCCTTGAAGAACATATAGCTAAAAATAAGGTGCCATTCCTGGAATTTACGTTCAAAATGGGTATTCATCTCTCAACCTACTTCCTGGCATGAAGTTTTGAAGCATTGTACAGCAGTCTGAGTCAAGCCCTGCAGATGCCTGCATTCAGAAAAATCAGTTTAGGTACATTTTGCTGAGATGGTGTACATTATTGCAGTTAGTTCTATTTAGTATTGAGACAACAAAATCTGAAATCTGTTGCACCTATGTACTTCTGTCACAAAAGTCTTTCCATATAGGATCAATATAGATTGTACTATGAAAGTGTACAAAAAAAGAGAAAACTTGCACATCTTTAAAAATTTCAACTAACATCTCTGGCACTAAGTTTCTACAACAAAAGCGAGGTCCTAAAATACGTCCCATTGTTCCAGCTGATTTGCTAACCCATAAAAGGGTATTCTGATACTCACTTAATCTGCATCTCTTTAGTAAACTTAATTTGCTATATATCTGCTGAAATGAAGTATACAACAGTGCAATTATAATTTAGTGTTTTATACCTTGCAGATGATGTTGAAATAGAATACAGTGCTTCCTCTTTTGTTTTCCCAGATACAATATCTCCTCCAAAGTTCATTTTTCCCAGGCTTCATGTTTGCTATGTCACAGTAAATCTTTCCTTCTGTTGAAGTTCCAGTGACTGTTGCAATATTTGTAGGAATGTTCTGTTTACCAAAATAAAAAGTTGTCTTGTTCTGTTCTTGCTGTCTCTTACAATTACACAGTTTCAACTGGACAAACCATAAATTATAATAATCATTATTTCAGACTTAGCTCCAAAATATAGTCCCCATTTCTGATATAAAGCAGCCAAGTTATATAGCTTTAAAAGTCAAAGACAAGTAATAATAAAAAAATGTCACATCAAGGCTGGGAAACTCCTAGGGAGCCACGTACCCCGTTCCTCTTTTTCTGCCCCACTTTCCCAAGAATGTTCCAAATAAATTTCTTTTTTCTTCTTGGCTCTCTTGGCCCACATTTTATTCAAGTTTTTTCTCTTCCAGAATTGTCTATTGAGTTTATGCACGTCCTTTTTGTCCCTTTTTTCTCAATCCCTTCTTTACTTTGGGACTCTTCCCCCCCCTTATGCCAGGAGGAGATTCCCACTAAGTGCTAGGTTCTTTCCCTTAGAAATCTCACAAATCTCACTATGTAGCCGTGGGATAAGAATTACCACTTTCAGCTCCTGAAGTTACACTGGGTGCACAAGAATCTCAATATACAGTCATCACGTTTTTGTGTTTGCAAAGAAAAACTTGAGAATGTAAAATTCAAAATGTCAATTGTCAATCAACAAGTATAGGCCATTGCTTTTCAAATAAAATATTAAAACATTTAAAAAAAAATCTGGAATTATCCTGCTTTTTAATGTTTAGTGTTGGCAGTACACCCTCTGTTTATATTTACCTTGTGAAGTATTTCTGTGCAGTTTCTGGGTTCATTATAGATTATTTTAATGGACACATAAAGAACAGATGTCACCTTAGTGTAACTCCCATTTGGAAACTGCCAGCATTAGTAATGGCAATGTAAGAGGAGAGATGAGCTGCCTGGATAAACAAGATACTCTTTCAAGAACCTGAGGTGAGGGCAAGCTCTGGAGTGATGAATGTTTTAGCATTTAATCTGTTCCTACTTTTTGTACTTCAGAGGCTCTGGAGTGAGCAGCCTGTAACCAAACTGACTGTATTTCTGCCATATTTTTGTTCATAGGCAGTGACACATCAGCACACTCATATGCATTAAAGAAGGCACATGACACCTCATTCAAATACGTCGCCATTATTAAAGATGCTCGGCAAAAATAATTGCCAAGTTACTTAAGCAAAAGCACTTAAGAGTGCCATTTAGCCATTCGCCTTGGAACCGTAAAACTATTCTTTCATTTTACATCTCTGAAAATGCAGCTCTACCCCTCTACAGTGATGCAGTAATATATACCAAAAGCATTATCCTCAAGTGACATGATCTCCTTGCGTGAATACCTCCCAATGACTCCAGACCTCTATTATAGAGACAGCTTGCCTTAGAGATTCAAAAATCCAATTTCCTCAAACCTGCAAAGCTTAATAGATTCACATTGTATTTGGCATTCCAATCTTACTTGGAGATTTCTAACTGTAATGGTTAGCTCTTATATAGTGATTTTAATAAAGGGTGCTCATTCAATCATAAAGAAAAATGTTCCACATATAGGGATGGGACAACTGAAGCATTTGTTGTTAGTTCAGTATCACAACATACTGACAGGTTCAGAAGAACCCATGTCCTTGTTCTAGGCTGCTGCCCTGTTCACTCATCATTACTGTCAAAGAGGAATAAAACTGTAAGTATGAAGACCAAGGAAGACAGAATTACTCTTTAAGGTAGCTTGAAACGTTTCACTGCAGTGGATGGAATTATATCATCCTGTTATTCCCTGCTAAGCAGACAGTTTTGAGATGTAGTCAAAGCCTGTGAGAAATTTGTGGAAATGACGAGTACTTCACTGTTAGCACAGCATTGGAGAAATCCACCCTTTGAGCACCTACCACTCTGTTCTTCTCACTTCCGTAAGCACATGAGTGTGATGTAGTTATCCTCAGTTCAAGCAGGTAACATTGAGATCAAAGTTAGATTACTACCACAACTTTTGAAGTGATAAATGATAATTTGAGGACAAAATCAGTGAAAAAACAGTCTTAAATGCAGCCAGTATCAAGAGGCATCAGGGTTACGGAATAATGTGGTATTTGTATAAGCTGCAGTATTACTTTAGCTTTAAGGAAAACTTAGTATTTTCCTCAAAAAGGAAGAATGCTGATTGGATGGGGGAGCACATTAAACTGACGTATACACACTGGCTATCATTTATAGCTAAAATTTTATCCAAGCTGTTTTTTTTTTCCTTTCAGGTATTGTCATTCCCCCTTTTCACTTCTTCTAAATCCAACCATTTAAACCTCCATTTGTGGAGTCCCCTTCCTGCCATGTCTTCAGCATGCTTTCTCTTGTCTCAGAGTTTGTCCTATGCCCCGCCATTGTAGTCTGCATATGTAGACATCTATGTGGTTTTGAATGTGAAAAGATAAAAGCTAAAGTGCTGAATGGTGTCAAATGTGTGTAGACTTTGGGCCACTTCAGTGGCACTGTGCCCTGCAAGCAAGATCTGAGCCACTGTTTGCTAGTTTCTCTTGAAAAGCGTTGCTCGGTATTCTCCATCTTGCATATGGTTTTCCCCGATCTACAATCTGCTTTTTTAACACACAAAAATCCTCTTCCATTTCTTCTTTTCACTGGTAAGTTGGTGGGTTTTGTACTTTTCCCCATGGTCTAGAACAGCTTTCTTGACTATTTCCATCTCTGTCTACATCTGGCTTCCCTCTCTACAAACACAGCACAGAGCCACCCAAGAATAAGAACCAAAGCATCACAGCTTCTCGCAGCTCACTTGTCCTACCAAGCGGCAAAGCAGTCTAACCCAACGGCAGCGCTGCTGCACTGCTTCCCCTATTTGAGCCACCACGAGGACCTGTGTGTGCAGACTCTGGCCACAGACATACCTGCAGTGTCGGTGCCTGGTGCGTCTCAGGCCTGTGCAGGGACCTGAGTACATGACAGTACTTTAACAGAAATAAATTGAGAAGTTGACCTGAGGAAGTCGTTGCAGAACTACTCTGTGGACACCTTTACAGCGGTTTGCATCCCTTATTGAGTGATTTAGCTTGCATCAGTGAATCTCAAAGGTTTTATAGCTGAATCCTGTGGAAAGCTCCTGAGGAAATTAATTCTTACAAGGCAGTACCACAACATAAAAGTTGCATAAAATGCTTTCATTGATTTTTTTCCTTCCATTTTCTTGATTGCATAGTAGAAGAATCCCTATTTCTGTGTGCTATTGTCTTTGTGAAAATCAATATGTTTATACAATGTAGCCTTGACAGACGGCATTTCCTCAGATCTAACAAAATTACAACCAAGGAGCCCTTTTTCTTGCCACAAAGGTGTCTTAAGACATTTTACAGCTGCAGATTGGGTATCTCATTGTAGCCTCTTCATGGGGTTGGCAGGATGCAGGCAAATACAGGATCATACCAGATAACCGAGGCTCACAGATCAGCTCCTTTCTCTAGAGTCTGTTGTGTTCTGTTCCCTAATATAACCACACTTTTATTTCTGTCTTTTCAAAAAGTTTCTTTAGAGTTACAAAGAAAAAAAAAATCAGATTGCCAATGTATTTAATTTATTGGTGTGATTTTTACCTTCTTTAAAAGTAGCACGAGTAATTCCTTCTGAGATGAGAATGTTCTCCATCTCATCTAAGCACTGATTCTGAAGTTTTAATTACAAATCATGCGGCAACATCATTCATTCTTTGCAGCTGGAGAGAGTGTTTAAGGAAAGAGGGGCAGTAACTAGGTGATGTTTCCCCCTGCAGAACATAAGAGTGAGAAGGGCAGTTCCCATTACAGTCTGCACACCTTGCTGTGCCCTGATGCTCAGAGCAGGTTACGGCTCTTGCTTCCTTGCAGTGTAGCATGGGAAAACACTACTACTTTTTCCTAAATTCAATCCTCATGCCATCTGGACAGTCTTGGTTCCTCTCTAAGTCCTGGGACTTCAGTTATCTCAGTTCTACATTTTTCTTCTCCTGTGCTGAGTTAGCAAACAGAGCGAGCAGCAGCCGGAGCAGCCAAGTTGGGAGCAGGAGGAACCCGGGTGCTCTCCCTGTCCTGCAGGAATTACTTCGGTTGCTCTGTATCTTTAAGGGGCTGACCCGATCCCACGGTGAGCCATTATAAAGGCAGGTAAGCAGCAGTGCCCTGATCAAAGAGCTGAGAGCAAAGCAGGGTGCAGCTCCCCTATAATGACTGGCCACCACAGTTGGGGATATGGGCAGGATGACGGTAGGTTATAGCATTTCCGTGCTGCATCTCTATCTTCCCTCACTCGTTTTCTTTCTAGAGCTGTTGCCTGAGCCCTGCAGAGCTGCCTGCGTTTCGATGTCTGCAAGCATCAAGTATATACAGCAGGTAATTAATTACTTTATTGATAATAAATAGCACCCAGAAAGTGGCTCCAAAAGATGCATGAACTTATGCCTGCTGCCTTTTGTTGTTGCAATCAACATTCCAAAACTGAGGGAAGCAGTACTGAGTGGGTTTTTTTCAGGCTGCAGATACTACAGATGGGTCCCTTTCCAAAAAGCTGTTATGAAAAGGATTAACTGTGTCTGTCTCTCCAAGAGCAATTCTTCTAAGTAAAGAAGATTTAGTACAGCAGTAATAGATCATCTGATCCTGTGCAGCTGTTGAAATGTGGTATCTAGGCTTCTATAGAAATGAATAAAATAAGGTATACGTTATAATTCTAGAACATCAATAAATTGTACAGATCAGTATCAGAGATCACTTACAGAACAACTTATGCTTTCTGATTTGACAGTTTTTAATTTAGTCATTCTCCTTTGCTTCCCGCCTCCAAGAACATGTCACAGAGTGAGAGGATATGTGAAGCTACTGAAAGATTTCTACGATAGTGTTTTATAGCACCTGTATCCTTTACAGAGAAGGATGGATGAGTGGCTGGGGTTGTCCAGTAAGACAATTGTTTGCATAACCTTCAGGAGCCAGTCTGTGTCTCTCTCTCTCTCTCTCTCATAATTATTTTAGTTTCCATGAGCAAGTTTGAATGCTAAGTGAAGCTGGTTAGTGCTTGGGCATATAGGTAGTAGTAATAAAGCCATGTATTTTCTTACAAAGCTCATAACAGACAATTTATATTGCCTAAGCTTGTGTAACAGCATTTAAATCCTAAATCTGCTTTATAGGCAAGCTGAGAAAAGATATTATTTTATAAGCTGAGCTTTTCGGAAAATGCCAAAGACAAGTAAGAGTATAATAGATCGCTGTTTTTGTTACATAAACTCAAGGAGGGTAAATACCTGTGCTTGATTAAAAAAAGCTTCCACTTGTGAAAGTATGTGAGAATGCTACAGTTAAAAATGTGCTTCTTGGGAATCTTAAAGTAAAATTGTTACTGTAAATACTTTCTGAACATAAGCAGTAGAATTTAATTGCTTCTTGTGCTATCATACCAAAGTAGAAAAAGGAGTGGTAAGGATAAGTAATTCTTTCATGCAGATAAGGTTTTGTTATCTCAAACAGCATTAAGAGTGTTCCAGCTTTGGCAGCAGAGAGCTGTATTATTAAATTGGTCTTTCTCCCCATTCTGTTGGGGTCAGGAAGTCCAAAAATGTTAATTACCACACTATACCCTTCACTCAGGGTAGAAAAGATACCATAATGGGCATGAGTGAATAATGAAGCTGCCTCAAAGATTTACTGCAGTCATAAAATGGTTTTAAAAATAACTGCATAGTCAGTAGCTAAGAGATTGAGTCATCTGCATCTAATTTGAATCACCAGAGCTTTTACAGTATCTTGCCCAGGAAGAATTAAATGCTATTTCCTTGGGGGAGTGTATGTGTGTGTGCAAGTGTGTTTACACCTGCACCCACCTCGGAAGGTCTTTGGAAACCTTAGTAATGTAATTACAAACTCCCCAGAAAATTAGTGGCACAAGTAACTGAAGATAAAGATAAAACTATTGATGTGCTGTGATTTCCTCAGTGTGTTTTGTACAAGATATTTGAATTGCCCATCTTGTTGCAGCCTGTTTGTGCTAATAAAAACGCACCAGCTTAGAATTTAAGTGAACTTCTTGGATACCAAATTTGCAAGTCACTCCTGCTCAGCAAGCTTTACTTCAAGCCTCGTGAAAACCTGTAATGATTACTTTGTGTATAGTAGGAAGAAAATAATGGTGCTTTCCTTTCTTTCATTTTGAAGGACCTTCGGAGTGGCACAAATCTTATCCTATTGCCCAAGGGAACCGCCAGTCACCCATTGATATAGTTTCTGCAAGAGCCATTTATGACCCTAATCTGAAGCCGCTTATTATCTCCTATGAATCATGTACATCTCTCAACATCTCCAACAATGGCCATTCAGTTATGGTTGAGTTTGAAGATACTGATGACAAGACAGGTGAGACTAACACACAGCCAGCTAACTTAGAATATGATTTTGTGACTTAGTGAGGGCAACAATTAAGTACATCCTGTATAGCATATGTTATATGATGTATAATTTCAGTTTAGGACAAGGCATGTGACCAGAGCCCTTTATATTTTGTTGTTTTGAGCCTCACATTTCTTGTCTTGAGTCTCTCTAGCAATGTGATATTGCACAGCAGAATAGCGTTTCCGCATTAGGAAAAGCTCCTGTATCAGGAAAATCAGAAGCTTGTTTGCAGTGCTTCCCTTTTAAATGGGGATTGTCAGTTTGCTAGACAGGGTATCCATGAATCTCTCCAGCACTTAGAACACTCCTCACTACCCTGTTCCCATGGTCATCCAAACCAAAGATGCTAATGTACATGCCAGCTTTGCCCAGTTTCCATTTACAGGGCTAGGGAAGAAGATTAGCAGAGATCAGACCATACAGCATAGTCCTCGTAGTCCACTACACCAAGCTGTATCTGGACCAGTCACTAACCTTGCATTGTGGTTTTTTTCCTTCACCCGCTGACCACCACCTCATAGAAGTTAAGTTTCTTCAGAAGTTATAAAATCTTCTACTAATTCTGAGTTGGTAGCAGCTTGTGGATGTTGGACTGTCTGCAGTTGTATATTATTCTTGTCTCTTAGCTCTTGTCAGAGAGTATAAATGCTTTAAGTGATTGATTACTTCTGTTAATTCTACTTCCATGGTAGACCTTGCTTTTACATCTGCAGGGTAGGGGGAGAGTGCATTCAAATGGAGATGAAGTAGCTAATAAATGGAAAGAATACATTTAAAAAAAACCAACACACTCTGAACAATTTTTAAACATATTGGCTGATTTCATCTTCCAGTTGGGTGTGTTTATTGATTCTAGCTAAATAGGATATCCTAGATACTGAAAACAAGTTACTTTTTCTGTAAGACTTTTTCTGTCTGTGCTGGTAACCCTTTGAAATAAGGGCTGGGAGTTAAGATTCCAGCCATTTTGTTTCAAAATTTCCCTTCTGGAATGAATCTAGGAAACCACCCAACTGAGTGGTCAGGTTTGCAAGCATGTTTACTGAATTTAAAGATAAGACTGGATGTGCATTTTCCAAAATCTTGCTACGCAGATCCATTAAGCATGTTACCCTACAAAGAATTTGTAAAATATATCTGGAAGTGTTATCTTAGCTTGCTAACTGCTTTTGTGCAATTCTAAGCTGAACTGTATCTATGTAACTGTGAACTTTATCCAGCTCTATAAGTTTAAGAACATAATCTATTACTGTGCTTTTAGAGATACAGATTCAGAGCACATGCAGGAACGAAGGCCTCTGCCCTTCCTACACTAAGCACATGCCTTGTTTTAATAACACTTTCAAGGAAGAAAGCTGCTAGGAGTGGAAAACATGTTTTTAAGTCTTTCTAGTTGTGTTGAAATAGATCTAATGACTCACAGCTCTGCATAAATGGTACAACAGATCTTTGACAGTAACCCATCATGGCTAGACTTCTTAAAATAATGTTTGAGACAGGTGATGCATTCCATTGCTAAGTTCAGAAAAAACATACTAGGAGGTACTTACATTCTTAATATTAAAACCTTTGCTTTGGCAAGGCCAGTTTCTGGCACAAGAGCCAGTTGGAACTATGCATGTGTGGTAGCACCATGTAAGCCCCAGCTTTAATTTTTTAATAAAATGTTATGGGCTACACTAAGGATAAGTGCTTTACAGATACTAAATGTAATTTTAATTTTCTTAATATAAGACTTTGATCAGGTTTTCATGTCTATTGGGCAATATTTATTTGATTTAGTGCCATATAAAATTACAGGAGAATTACTGATGCTGTTGATAAAGTATCTTCTACAGGTGACATCTTAAACATTCAGCTGTTCTTAAGTGTTATTTCTAAATTATGTACGAAGTTTCTCTAGCACTTCCTCACCTTTATAAGGTGATTTGAGATTCTGAATGGTGTCATGTAAAGTACAAGCTATTATATTACCTCTTTTTATGGGATCAGGTATTTAAAGGAAATGGAATATAGATAACCTCCACAGGAAGAAAGACATCTAAAGAGTAAATACTCAGCTGAATTGTCTACCTGATGCTCAAGGTATCTATACTCTTTTGCACAAACCTCAAGTAGCAATGTCAAAAATATTTTAGGTACATGAGTTTCAAACTGATTTATTTTTTTTAATTTTCAACTTGGGTTTATTGTATTTAACAAGAAAGGCATAACCATAACAAAGCTACCACATCTTCATATGTCAAATATACTCTTTCCAAAAAAGCTACAAAATTCTGTACAAGTAGCCAGTCCATGTGTTTAAACTTAATTTTTTACATGAATTCAGGTGCTTTCCATTAAGAAATCCAACCCTTCTAAATGGATGATGCATATCTTTGATATTGGCAATGGGGAGATGTTGCTGGCTTTTTTCCACTATTGTGCCAACAGTAGTTAGTTTTGCTAACAGGAAACTAAGAAGCCAGAACGTGTAAGCTATTTCCTCTTTTCCCCTCCTGTAGTGATCAGCGGTGGTCCCTTTGAAAATCCATTTCGGCTAAAGCAGTTTCACTTTCACTGGGGGACAAAGCACAGCCAGGGGTCGGAGCATACAATTGATGGCAAACCTTTTCCATGTGAGGTAATTATGTGTTTTTACAGACAGGATTAATTCATGCAAATAATGTTGACAAATGACTTTGCAGAGGGGGCTGTGCGTCTCTTAGGATTCTGATGGCTTATTCACCATGGTTAGGTCAGCACAGACTCTAATGAGAATTTCATACCTTACACTGAAGTTATCTGTTGATTACCCTGGTTTTTAGAATGGAAACTTACCCACCCAGTGCAGCCTCTTCTCCAAGATTCTCAGTCATCTTACCCTAGTCAACAGGCCACAGCTAGCCCCACAGTTTAGCTGCTGTGCTTACACAGCACCTCTAACAGTCCTTTGCTGTGTAGCTTAGCCTGCTGCACACAATTGATTGCATCCTTTTACTTATACAGCTGGGAAGGATATACATGGCTTCTCAGCATTGTGGTTGTCAGTATTGCTCCACTTCCTGGCAGTTATCTTAGGCTTCAGCTGATGATCACAGCCTGTGAAATGACCATGCTGGTACTATCCATAGCTTAGAAATGGCTTCATCTCAGGCCTCTTGAGAGTTCTGCAAAGCTAGGATAAGGCACAGGCCTTTCCCAGCACAACCCATCCCAAATACTACAGTAGTGTTGCATTGTGGAGACTACCAGTGAATACTGGAGCACAGTGCTTCATTGGATGAAGGCCCATACCAGGGAAGTTGGATCACGGGTTAATGCCTGATTTCAAGTTAAGGCTGAAATATATAAACTTTGTTTAGTGTCTGTCCATGCTCATGGACTAGTCCAAAAGATTGAACTTGCTCATCTTTCCAAAGATGCCTTTGGAGCAAACCTACGTTCTGCTATGAATGACCAGTAGTGCCTGTTAACATGAGACAACCTATGTTCACAGCTTCTATCACTAATTTGTTTAATTCTTGTTATTTTTCTTTAAAGCTCCACTTAGTTCACTGGAATGCCAGAAAATATGCAACATTTGGAGAAGCAGCAGCAGCTCCAGATGGCTTGGCAGTAGTTGGTGTTTTCTTGGAGGTAAGAATCACAAAAATAGCATGTTTACATGATGAAAAGCATTATGCTGTCAAGTGTTTGAGAACCAAGCCATGTATTTAAGAAGTGCTTAAGGAAAACAGATGACTTATTGGAAGCAGTAACTCATTGCAAATTGCTGTTAGACTTCAGGAGGAATGGTGAAATTCAGATAAGAAAACAACACCTATTGAAAGCATATTTATAGTCATTCTTATTTAACCTGTCTATTCCATTATTTTAGATTGGGAAAGAACATGCCGATATGAACAGACTCACTGATGCTTTGTACATGGTAAAATTTAAAGTAAGTTTTAAGCTCTTCAAATTTAATTGTTTCTGGTATATCCTTTAAAAATTGAGCTCATGTACATGTTTGAGACAAAAATGGAAAATCGCCCACCACAAATCTTGCCATCATTAGAAGATCACGCTAGTTATAAACTGAACTTTGGAGGGGGGAATAGGAGAATATTTGCCTAGTTTCTGGTGCCTCCAAAGGCTGTGTTGATGCCACTGGTCATTCAGAGGTTCTACCTTTCCCAGAGTTCCTAAAATCAAAAGCTCCATGACCCTTCAGGCTCAGCTCTTGCATGCAGCAAAATAATCCTTTTCCACTGAGCCTAGCCCTGAACAAGTCAAAACCGGCTGTATCTTCTGCTGCAAAGCTCTGTCAGGGGACAATCTTAATGAGGTCCTGAGCTCATCTGTTCTTACAGTGATACCTGAAGGTGGTCTTTAACCACACGTATCTGAGAGCTTTGAAGATTGATACCTGCTGCAGGTATCAAGTGCAGACTGACTGGACCACTACAAATGTTATCCTTTTGGGATTTACATGAGGTTAACACATTCTATAATATGCATGTAAGTTCTAATATACAAAATAAACTATATCTAATACTTGAGTGGGCATATTATTTCTTGCTCCTCTTTAGATGCTTGTGAAACACGGGAAATGAAGGCAGTTATACAGCAACATATAGCCTGCAGACACTAAATGATACTTTGATGTTGAAGTTACTTCTGCCACTTGCAGGAAAAAATTGTTTTCCCTCAGCTGTAGCGATGGAAGGTCTGCAGGCTTGCCACTGGGGATAAGCTGCTCATTTCTGTTTCTTATGCGCAATTTTCAGACAATTGGACAGTGCTTTCTGAGTGACTAAGTACCTTTCAGATATTCCTACAGGCTGAAAAATCTTGCCCTAGACTGTGATAGTTAAAGCATTCAGTACTTTAGGCAGCACCTCCTTCTATTTCTACTGGTCTTTTGATAGATCCACCTTCCTCTAATTTTAGACTTGAACATTTGTTTTTAAAGCCAATATTTGTCTTAGCAGACAATGGCTGGGGCCAAGTTTTCCATAGTTTCAAATTTTCTACTGAAATAGATGGGAAACATAGAAAATAGCAAGTAATGAGACAAGGAATTCTGCCACGATATTGTCTATAGCTCACACTGAACACTATATACAGAATATACTTCCTGCATTATTTTTAGACCTTTTGTGACAAGAGCTGAAGTTTGGTAAAGGCAATGGGGCAAGAACTCAAAGTCCAGTAAGCCAACAGCAGGTCTGACACTTGTCATGCTACTCTTGGATAACAGTTGTTGTAAGGCAGCCAAACCTTTATAGACTTTTCCTTTCCTCTACTTTTTAATACTACTTCAGCATTTTCTCTCTCAAAGAGTTCTTTAACCTGCACTTAAAAGTAAAAATAAGTTTCAAATATCAATTCTTTTTCCCAGGGAATGAAAGCTCAGTTTACAAGTTTCAACCCCAAATGTCTCCTGCCTCTGAGTCTAGATTATTGGACATACCTTGGCTCTTTGACAACACCACCCCTTAATGAGAGTGTAACATGGATAGTGCTGAAAGAACCCATCAGAATTTCTGAGAAACAGGTAAACTTTTATTACTCTTGCAGTTCTTGTAGGATTCAACACTGGATAAGGAAGCAGTGACTGTTTTGATTTGCAATAGGGCTAAATTAAAAGACTATTAGCCTGTGAATAATCAGTCTGTTCAATAATCAGGGCTTCTGGTTTTTGTTAGTCTCTAGGCTCTTTCCTTGAACCTGTTCTATTAACTGGTTAAAACATACTGAATACTTTTCTTTGGTCCTTTTTAAAAACATCAATATTGATTGCTATCTTAAGCAGTAAATTACTTCACCTGGCTTTACAGCTGGAGAAATTCCGCATGCTCTTCTTCACCAGTGAGGAAGACCAGAGGATCCAAATGGTGAATAATTTTCGCCCCCCTCAGCCTCTTAAGGGGAGAATAGTTCGAGCTTCCTTCAAGGCCTGAAGAAAACTGATAATAGCCCTGAGATATCCAAGAGCTTCCACATCTGAGATTCTATAAACAGAAACTCTTCAGATCATTTATGGAACATGTAAGATGGCCATTTCCATGAACACTCCACTTGGAGGGGGACAGTCTTCTGATTTTATATTTTATTTGAATTGCTCATTCTTTTGAGAAATGGGATCTTTTTAACTAGCACTTTTTAATATAAGGGATAGTTGAGTAAATGAGAGTTCTCCAAGACCTGAAACTCTAAAAAATTAAGATGAAATTAAAATCCTGCTTAATATAAAATGGGAAATTATGTAGTGGTCTACTAGTACTGATGGCCACAACTTCTAATGGTCTCATTTAATACATGGTGAAACAGTAGTCAAGAATTTTGGGCAAACTGGACTTAAATTTTCCTCACCCATCTCTTGTTAGCATTTGCCAAGCTCTGTCTCACTTAAAGATTGCTTTCACTGTATGCTTGCTGTCTGTTAACACATACAGTGCACATAAGTAGCACTAAAAGTTCTTTACTCACCTCAAGTAGGCACTGGTATGAAAACTACATATATATTTTAAAGTTGATCTAAGATGAAGATGCTATTTTATAACTAATTTAAAATAACAAATGCTGTTTTTTAAAGCAGGCCATTTTATTGTACAGTGTTGTTCAGACACTTGTTTTTAGCCCATGCAGCATACATAACTAGAATGCCCTTGTCAATGTTGTTGAAAAGAACATCTATAGCAATTTAGGTATGTGTTCTGTGGTTCTCAATTGTTCAAATTCTACCTCAGTTAAGTGATTTGCTCTGCAATGCGACCTCCTTCATAGTCTGCCCTAAAAAGTAGATATTTTGTTTACTTTAGGGACCTAACATGGGTAGACCTTGACTGCACTGAATGTGCATTGCTGCACAAATCATCCCCTCACTATGGCAGTCTGTCAGGGATATTCCCTGCAGATACGAGGTTTCATCAGTCCTGAGTCCTTTTACCTCTTCAAAAGAAAGTTGCTTTAGAAAAGCCATGTGTTAGTGTTACTGCTTAGTGACAAAATTCAGACCTGTGTCTCTGGTACTAAATACAGTGATGTTATCTGTAACTACCCACAGTCTATTTTTAGTTACTTTAGTTATGGGCTTCAAATGTTCTACTTCATATGTATGGTTCAGATAGAAATTGCTGATTGTTATTGATATTCATACTCCAGGAGAACCTGCTTTAGCAGGGGGGTTGGACTAGATGATCTCCTGAGGTCCCTTCCAACCCTTGCAATTCTGTGATTCATCAGCTTTGATGGAGAAATCGTCAATGATGTACAATGCAAAGGAAAGCAGGGTGAAAAAGGAGAAGCACAGCTACTATGGGCTGTTCTTTTTCAGAAAGGGAGAAAGACCCTGGATGTGAGGCACAGTACAAGGAATGGAAGACTAGAATTCTAAACCTAACTCTTCTACAGTTTTTTTTGGTACATTGACCTAAAACTTTCCATTCCTCAGTTTTCTCTTATATAAAATGAGGGTAACACTGACCTACCTCACAGGGGTGTTGTGAGGGCTAATTCAGCATTGTTTTAGATGTGAGATTCTTAAACAGCAGATGCTAAAGAAAACAGAAAATCATTACAAAATGCAATGGTTTTAGCTATTATGAATGTAACTTTGCTAGTAATGCAAACTGGTATTGCAGAAAATCTATTTAATGTATCTTAATTTCTTTAATAAATGAGAATTTCAAATCAAGTGTTCATCTCTGTCCTTTATTTTGAATAGACCTACCTCTCCCTACTTGGAGCACTGTATTTCTTGGACTTTCATTAACAGAAATGCTGTTTGATATCTTCAACTGATGCATCTATTTCTGATCAAGGAATGCTTTCATTGTTTACCTTCAGTTTCACAGAAACCTTGATTCTGCTATAGCAGAACAATCTAAGAACAGATAAGAATTATCCCTCCAAAGTTTCTGGGCTTTTTTTTGAGTTCTAGAAAGCCTACCTCTAAAAACTATTTTTAGTTTGTCACATTAGGACTAACAGTTTCTACTTCAGCTTAATCTTTTCACTCAAATTCTGACCTATTTTGTGCAGCTTGAATGACTTCTTGCCCAGTCAAACTGTTGTCATGAATATTATGTTGCTGTTAAAACTAAAACCTACATGAAAAGACTTTTTACACTTTAAAATTAGTGTCTAAAAAGAACCATATGTATCTGATAGCCCAAATACTCCTAATAAAATGTAAATTAAAATACTTTTCTGATTAAGCTATATATGGTAAGTAAGACTAGTTACATTTTAATCTACCACAGTATTGCTGCATTAATATTAGCGCACACTCTCAGAGCAGGTAAAATATTTTCAGTGTTTTCTTTCATTCTAGGCATATAAATAGGTTTCTGCTTACTCATGGTTTTACAAAAGGTAAAGAGGGCTTGTATACCAAAACTCTGTCCAGTTTTTCCCCAACTATAACCACTCAGTCTAATAAAGTAAATCTTACTTATCCACAGAATGTGTCCGTTCTGTGACCTTGAACACAGTCCTTAAGCTTCTTTAAGGGTGGTTTACTTATGAACAACAGAAGGATAATGTTTAGCTCACAAGGTTATTGTAAAAGCTTAGTTATTGTAAAGAGCTTTAAATGCTGAATCCCCCAAGGTGTTCAGTTTCTGGGAGAAACTGAGCTATACCTTCCTTCAGAAATAAATTTTATCTTATTTACTGATCTTTTTCAGCTGTTGGATTAAAGAACATTATCTATTTTTATCACAGTGAAGCAAAATATAAAAGGAAGTATTTTATATTCTTTTTGTTTCTTGAAACCTGGTCATCCAATAAAAAAGCACAAATATTTCCTTTTTTTTTATGGTTTTAAAGCTATGAACTACATTATACAACTTAATGCACTTTATTTATTTTGAGATTATAAAAGCAAACTGCAAGAAGTAGTATCAAATATGACACAAAATAGTGAATTTTACTGAATGCTCAATGATTAATGCAATCAGTATGAGGGTATAGTATTCAGTTAGATTAAGCTTTGGTGTACTTTGTCAGTATTCTCACTAGCGCTTCTAGTGCAAATGTCCCCCTCAAAGGCAATCCATAGGGCCAAATACCTGTGCCATGCATCAGTGTGTTTGGGGGATTTGCAGAAAATTCACTTCCTATGTTTGCCTTCTGAACTGTCGTATTCCGCACACAAACATTATTCAGCAAAGCTCCTCCATCAAGGTCATTCAAATGCTAGAACATGTGCTATCCTTATCTTCTAAGCTATCCTTATCTTCTACCAACCATGTTGAAGGAAAAATAGCAGTTGAATCTAACTATTCCAGCAAGACTTAGCTTAACTTGTAATAGGATCACAGTTGTCATGACAGAGAGAACACGAGGCCTTATATTTAGGACAGTGACTGAAATGACACAGCTGTAAAAGCTAGACTAAAAATGCCATCTAGTGGCTGGCTGTTGCCATTTCTTACCACAATGCTTAAAACAATTTTTAAGGCCAATTCAGTCAAAATACAACAGATGAGAGAATTTAACTTTGACAATAATTATTTTTAAAGGTATGGGGTATGTAATTGAAATCCCTGTGCTGGCTCTGCGTATGCAGTCTTGAAACTCCTTTATCAGAGAAAAATCAACCTTACAAAAGAAACTCAATAAAGCAGTCACAATTTTTTATTCCTCTTTTCATGATAGAGTGGACATATCCTCAGCCTGGTAAACTGTATGCTATCATAACTTCAACTTTTCAACTTTAATAGCTAGAGTTAAAGTTCAGCTTAGGGTTTTTTTTTTCCCATCATCTGCAAACAGAGATATTTTTAGGCAATTTCAGCGATATAGTTGATATGATCTAGCAGCGATTTATAATGATAGATTTCATGATGAGTGTAAATTAACCCAAATATAAGCATCAGGGGAAAAGTGTTGCAAGGTACCTTGTCACCAGATGGTGCTTTTGGTGGTGTGCAAAGGTCAGAAAGATAAAAAAGGGAGCATTTCAGGAAAAAAACAGAGATAAACCTGAAAAAATGAGACATTATCTTGTACCTTAGATATCTGTTTTCCTCTCTGAATTCCTTCTGTATGCAAAAGTGACCATTTTAGTAAAGACACTGAGTATCAAAGCATGTTGCTCTACGCTGCCTGTAAGAGGGGGAGTCTCAAGTTTTTTCTCACTTACCCTAAGGAAACTGCAGTATACTGGTGAAACCTGACTTAACAGAACTGTTCCCAATTTGCATGGCTGTAAGGCAGAGACTGTTTCAATGTTCCATTTATGCTGCTACTTGTATTACATTTGAATTTTAGTAAAATTTCAGCCCCTCATTCCAGGTTGTGAACAACAATGTAGTAATGCAAAGCATCATTTTGTTTAATTTCATATGAATATAGTGGAATATTAAATGCAGCAATTCAGGAGTCAGCTCAGCCTGTTCATCTGTTGGAGGGGGAGAAGGTGGGAGGAGGAGAGAGAGGAAAGGAATATAATTGATTTTCTACACATGAGCACTTCATAGCAAGCCAGAGGACTTTCTTGCACTTGTAAGCTGTATCAAACAAATTTAAACTCACTTTTATAGTGGTACAGAATCTTAGCTGAACATGTATTTCAGTTTAACTTGAACCAGTTGGTAAACAACATCTCGCAAAAATTATATATGCGGAGTTCAGATCCAATTACAGCAACTAGATAGGCCTTTGCGCCAGTTCAACTACAGTAACTTAAACTGGATCTTCAGTTTAACCCCTGCAACTTCATATCTAGACACACTGCTTAGCCTCTGCTGTAACAGCAGGGGTTAAATGAAGTTGGAGAGTTGGAATGACATTTTTCCTACAGGTGTTCCCTGTGTTTACCTCTGTTCATTGACGTTTCTTGCAGCTTGTTTGCTTTCCTAGCATCTGAGTATTTGGTTTAGATTACATAGGAAGATCAAAGAAGATTATATAGGAAGACCAAAGAATAGCATTTGCTGTAACCAAAGTAGGA